ATTGGTTGTCTTGTTCATGAATTCTAATATTTTATGATTTTATTCTAAAGGGTATTTTTTCATGAATTCTCAAAGAATATCTATCACTAAATTTGAGTTACCTAATTGTAACTTTGCAAGCTATGCCAGGCTAATTTACGTCTTTTCTTTTTCCAAATAGCAATTTACTAACATTGACCCCCTCTTAATGATCATAATTCAAATTGTAAATGCTTGTGGATTTAAACTTGGCCAGAATATGAGTGTCCCAGGAATGTTAAAGCTAGTGGTCTTTTTACCCATTCGTTCATTCGTTCGTTTAATCATTCATTCATTCATTCATTCAATAACGCTGACTTCTCTGTTTTCCCATCTCTAGATGGTTGCAAAGAACAGTAACAGTGTACGTAAGGTACTTTCAGAAATTAGAAAAAAAATTCTGTATTATAATTTTCCTCAGTTTAATCTGTCATTTAGTACTGTACTCTGCCTTCAGACATACTGTAGGACATGCTGTCTTTGCTGTCCCGCTGTGGCAGAATTCAGAGTTGTTCTAACAAGTACAGATCCTTATGCCTGGTACTGTGTGCAGATTTCAGACTGAAGCTTCATTCTCACCTCTCTGTTATTTCTCGATACTTTCTAAAATGTAAATACGTACTTGTCCACCTCTAGCGTGACACCTGGCACATGACAGGAACCCAAAAGTAGTTTCACTAAGAGTGGGAAGGTAGGTTGATACAATATTTTTGGAGAGTAGTTAGGCAGTATCTGGCAAAATTTTCAGTTTGCATATCCTTCATTCCAAGAATTCTAGTACGAATTTAGATATAGTTGTATACATGTATAGGGATGTTCACATTGCAGCCTGTCTTTAAGGAGGACAGAAAATTGAAAGCAACTGAAAGTTAATCAGATTATGTAAATGGTGGTACTTATGATCAGTGGAGTACTTTGCAGCCATTAGAAAGAACAGAAAGGCTGTTTGCATAAATTGACCAGGAAAATCAGCATCTGAGATAGGTTGAAGAATATATATGTCTAGTGTGGTGCTTTTATATAAAATAGAGGACACCCATATATGAACAAGTAGGTACTGAGATATTTAAATGCATATACAATTAGTGATAGAAAAAAAAAGCCAAGAAAAACCATCAGTTTACAAGCTTAAAAAAAACACATATACAGCGAAAAGGAATATAGTATGCCTTGAAAAATGTTTGAAGAACCGCACAAAGAAGCGGAGGGGTGGGATTTCACTTTGATTCTGTCCGTGACCTGTGTGCTCTTCGGATTCTGAGGGGTTTGCAGGCTCATCGACCTGCGCAACCCACCGCCGGCTGAGGAGGGCGCTGTGGCCTCCAGAATCCCGGCAGCTGGCGCGGGGATGACAGCACCGCGAGCCGTGCCGCATGCGCAGCAGCAGGAGCCGAGGCGCTGCGGCGTGAAGTCTTCCCGTCGGAAATCCAGTTCTTGCCGAGGGCGCTGCCAGGGCGGCTCTGTCGCACTTGGCGATGCGTGGGCGGCAACTTGGGGCGCAGAGGAGCCGACGGCATCGTGCCCGCCACCGCTGGGGCCAGAGATGCGAATTCTCCGGACGGCCCTCCGGCAAGAGGAAGGGTGCAGGCCACGCCCCCGAAAGGTGAGCAGCCTCGGCCCGGTGCGGGCCCGTCCCGCCCGCAGCTCCTGGGCCTCGGTAGCTGCCTGAGCGTTGCCGCCGCGCGTGGCCCGCCCGCCTCTTCCCGGGAGGCTGTGACGCTTTCGCTGCTCCGCTCGCAGGAGGTGATGTGGACAGCCTGGTTTTTTGATTTCTCCCCATCCTTCTAGACAGGAGGCGCGGGCCATGGTTCCCCGGGTGAAATAGAGAGACGGACTGCTCTCTAAGATGGGCCTGTCAGTGTTGGGGACAGCCCTTACTTACCGAAACGGGGTCCGCCGCATTCCTCAAGCTGTGCCATCTTGGCACAGAAAATAGGAGTAAGAAGAGCAAAGGTTGAAAGAAAAACCCACCAGTACAACCCAACTTTTCACCGAAAAAATGTGTGTGTTGTTCCCAGGAATCGCCAAGGGCATCATCCTGTTGCTTTCTAAGAGGTCTCATTTGAGAAATCGGCTTCCGTATATTCCAACGATTAATTTTGAGGCTTTGCTTTCCTCAAATTATGTTCACTGAACAAAAAAAATGTTCAGTGAACCCGTCTTCCTTGAGACCTTGCTTTCCTCCATCTCATACCTCATTCAATCCCCTTCCTTCGATTTATGTCCTGAATATCTTTTGAATCTGTCCTCTCTCCTCCACCAGCATCCTAATATAGAACTTGCCTCATCTATTTGTCCTGATGAGTGTATATATTGATCGATTCTTGTTTCCTTCCAGTCCATTCTTCACATAAGACATTTTTTTAATAAGTAACTTGGAAAGTTCTCATAAATATCGCTCAAAAACTTTGCTTAAGAATAAAAACAAACTCTTTTCCATGACCTTTAAGACTCTGCGTGGTCTAGAACCCCCCCCCCCCTTTGCCCAGCCCCATCTTGTGTCACTTTTGCCCTCACTGTCTATACTTCAGGAATGCTGAACTAACCTTAGTTGATTCTATATAAATCCTACCAAAGGCAGCTCAAATACTACCATTTTACTCTCACTCCCAGCCTTATTCAATGAAGTTCAGAGGCCCCTTTTTGATCAGGTTTTTCTTTTAAAATATGGACTTGAGGTTCACTACTGGTTGCATTTGATGGCATCCGTTGTGTTAGGACCAAAAATAAAGTGTAAAGTGAAAGAATTGGAGTTAAAGGGTTTCAACCCACATGTGTGTATTTAATGACGCCTTAGTGCTCACGATTGGGCTCGATTTCATTGGGGATGCAGGAGTTCTGGCCACCTGTGGTCTTAGATGTGTCTTATTTGTGGAGCCCTTTGCACTGTTCTGCTGCCTTGTCTGTTTTCAAGGTGGGGAAGCAGGCAGAGGGGGAGTATAGATCGCTACCAGGTGGGGTTGAGTAAGTGGAGCAGCAGAGTGCAGAGTAGGGAGAAGAGAGGACCTACTTTTGGGTTCTGCTTTTCATGTTCAAGGAGACTTCATTCTATGCAGAGAGACTGGCCGACCTACAATTTGTCTAACAAGAAAATGTATTAACAGGTGGAAAGGCTGTATCCCAGTTGGACAGCACCTGCCAGGGACTCGTTTCATCACTGTCAAAGTTCCTTTGAAAAAGGTAAGCAGTATTCTTTCAGAAATCCACATGCACCGTGTAGAACACTGGTTCTCAACCCTGTCACACCCCATTTTTCCTTTTTTGTAGCAAATACTTTGTAATGCCCCTTTAGTATCCTGAAATGAAGTTCATATAAGCACGACCTGCTTCCTTACTTAATTTCTTTTTATTTTTTTTACATTTTCTTATTAAGGTATCGTTGATATACACTTATCTTAAGAGTGTATATCAATGACACCTTAATTAAAAAATGAAAACATGAAAAAAGTGAAAACCAGTGTGGATACTACATTCACCCATATTATTGAGTCCCCACCCATACCCCATTGCAGTCACTGTCCATCAGTGTGGTAAGATGCCACAGAGTCACTACTTGTCTTCTCTGTGCTGCATTGTCTTCCCCATGATCCCCCCAACACCATGTGTAGTAATCATAATACCCCTCAATCCCCTCCTCCCTCCCTACCACCCACCCTTCCCCACACCTCCCCTTTGGTAATCGCTAGTCCCTTCTTGTGGTCTGTGAGTCCAGTGCTGTTTTGTTCCTTCAGTTTTGCTTCATCGTTCTACTCCACAAATGAGGGAAATCATTTGCTATTTGTCTTTCTCTGCCTGACTTATTTCACTGAGCGTAGTACCCTCTAGATCAATCCATATTGTTGCAAATGGTAGAATTTGTTTCTTTCTTATGGCTGAATAGTATTCCCTTGTGTATATGTACCACATCTTCTTTATCCATTCATCTGCTGATGGACACTGAGGTTGCTTGCATATCTTGGCTATTGTAAATAGTGCTGCAGTGAACATAGGCGTGCACATGTCTTCTTGATTCTGAGAACTTGTTTTCTTTGGGTAAATTCCTAGGAGTGGAACTCCTGGGTCAAGTGGATGTTTCTGTTTTTAGTTTTCTGAGGAACCTCCATACTGCTTTCCATGGTGGTTGAACTAGTTTACATTCCCACCAGCAGTGTAGGAGGGTTCCACTTCCTGCGCCTCCTCGCCAGCATTTGTGGTTGCTTGTCTTCTGGATGTTGGCCGTCCTAACTGGTGTGAAGTGATGGAGCACTGTGGTTTTAATTTGCACTTCCCTGATGATTAGCGATGTTTTGGAGTTGTGTCCTGAATCCCTTGTTTTCTAAAATACTTAACTGGTTGTCATGAGACACGATGTCAGCCTTCACGAGAGACTTTGAACATTTCTCCTGCTCAACCTAGACTCATCTCCTGACATCTTCAACTGTTCGAAGGTTAACTCTGACCCTTAGCCTTGATGTGCTTCTTACTTCTGCCATGTCCCGCACGCCAACTCCTTTTTATAAACCTGTAACCTCTCTCCCCCCTTTGTCCTTCCTGACCCTGGGCCGAGTTCCTTCCTCCCTCCCCAGTTCTTATCCCTCTTCCCTGACATGCCATCCACCTTGCAGGTCTGTCTTTCTCATACAGGCTTGCATCCCCACTCCCACCAAAGAGAAACCACAGTTGAAAGCATATCAAAACTCAAAAGACTTCTTTGTTACTCATCTATTAATTCTATTCCGTCTATTGTTTTAAAATCTGTCAGAATAAATGGAGGAACTTTTATCTGTCTATCTACATGTGGAAACATATCTATCTGTCTATGTGTGGAAACATATCTATCTATCTGTCTATGTCTGGAAACTTATATCTATCTACGTGTGGAAACTTATATCTATCTATCTATCTACGTGTAGAAACTTATGTCTATCTATCTATGTGTGGAAACTTATTATCTGTCTATCTACAGCTGGTGACCAAAGTGGCACCAACACTCCTATCAGGTCTTACGTTACGTAGCCATAGTAGTCAGCAATTTCTATTTCCTTTTCCCTCTCGGTGAAAAACTGTACTTTCCCTGCAAAGGTGTATTTGGCGGCATTCTCACGCTCTTGTTGAGCCTGCCTCTTCATAGCCTCCCGCTCTGGCCTCTGCTCTTCTGTGATGGGCTTTGACGTTACTGGCCCAGAAATATTGGGTTTCCTCCATGGATGTGGTTGGAAGCAGAATTCTCGGGGTGGAAGCTGGGTTTGAGGTTCGGGTGGAGGCTGGTGCTGGGGCACAGCAGTGGGAATGGGCTCCTGCTGCAGAGGAGTGCAAGATGATGTTCTGTAGGGTGCAGGTCTAGAAGCAGCGGACTGGGTGACCCTGGGCTGGGTAGAGTTGGTCAGGTGTGGTTGGGTTGAGTTGGTCTGGACTGGACCCAGAGATGAGCAGGCAGGACCTGTCAAAGGTGCACGCGCTTGCCGGGACGAACCAACTGCAGTAGGTTGAGCTGCGTCCGTAGATCCAGGCTGGGTAGAGGAAGCCAGAGCTGGCCGGCGTGAGGCCAGAGACTGTGGCCTCCGAGGAACTCGGCGAGCTTGAGGCCTGTCCTCAGTCAGAAAAGGCAGAGGCACCAACGTGACCTTCCCAGGAGGTGGCCGTTCATCCTTGGATGGAGATGGACACTCTTTTTTGACACTGCCGTCTGGTTTCTGGGCTTTGGCATGAGTTTTCTCAAGACCTTTACCCTGTTGTAGAGTATTCAGGCATGGTTTGGTGGCCAGGGGTGGCTGGGGGTCTTTGGGGTTCCTTGAATTTCCCAAGGCCTGGGAAGAAGAGAATCCAGTTTCCTTATCAGCCTTCTTCCCCAGTGCATGAAAAACCTGCACAGACTCCAGCATGTGCATGCCTAGCATGCTTCGAGGTTTTTTAAAGCTCTCTTGGCTGAGCTCAGGTTGGTTTTTCTTGCGCTTCATCCTGGGAATGGTTGCCTTTTCTTCTGCCCTGGCTCTGCTCCCGGACTGCTTACCCTCTGCAGCTTTCTTGGGGTTGCTTTTTCTGGTTGTTTTGGTCTTTCCCTGTTCACGGCTCCTAGTTTTGCTGGTCCCGCCTGATGCAGCTCTTGCAGATTTGCGGTTAGGAACCTTGTCACCGTCTGCAACATTACAGATGCTCACGTCTCCCCCTAAGAGACCCTCCGGGTCCTTTGGCTGGATTTTGGCCTTCAGAGCAGCACTGACAGGCTCAGAGGCCTTATGTTTGGTCTTCCTGGCTTGACCAGAGGACCCGTTTTTGATACGTGACCTTTCCCACAGCTGGTTTAAGTCGATGGCTCTGGTATCTTTGGCTTTGACCACCTCGGGACCTTTGGACTGATCGAGGTCTTTCAAGGAGCTGAAGAGCTGAGGGAGGTGACTGTCCTCCACCGGGCAGCAATGTTAGCAGAACCGCCGCTCGATTCAGCCTCATTTCCAAGTGTCCCTTGGTCCTCAGGGCTCAGGCTGTTGTTTCCCAGGTTAGTGTCTTCAGAACCAGGCTGCCTCTCTTGGCCAAGGGGATCAATGCAGGCCAGGAGCTGGTGAATATCAGGGATTTGTAAAGGGAGGAGTGCATCATCTTGGTCTTCTGTGGGGATCTGGGAGGGGAGGCATCCAGAGGCTTTGAAGGCTTGGTTTTAATATCATGCAAACTGTTGTTCTCCGTTTCTTCCTTATTTCTACCTGGAGGAAGCGCTGAGGAATTACTGGAACTCTGGACTGAAGCTGTCACTGAAATGCCTCCAGCCTCAGGTGGTGGGTTACCCTCCAGTGTGTGGATATGTCTGCTGCTGCAGGTCTTGGGGAATTCTGGACCTTGCGGCAGACAAAATGTCTGGCTTGGAGGCCGCAAACCCAGGGAAGTCTCCATCCCCAGCGAAGTCTCCATCACTACCAAGGAACAAGGAAGAGGTCAGTCTTTGGTAAGTGAGGTGCTGCGAGACACCACACAGCAATCATGCACTGTTCAACACGGACAAGACTTTTGTCCTAGTTCTTAAGCATCATGGGCAGCACCCTGTGCTGGGAGATAGAGGAGGCAACTGTTCTAGCTCTTACTGGTGATCACTTGATGTCACTGTTGCTCGGTTTCCTTTGTACTTGGTAAGGTTTTTGTAAGTCAAATAAAAGGTAAAAGTGATTTTTAAAGTATGAAATGTTTTACAAGGCTTAGTCTCCAATCCTGTCTGCTTTCCTGAGAAGTTAAGAGCAACTCACCCCATAGACTAAAAGAGAGAATGGAGCCCTTCCTGACGAACTATATAAGCAGGGACAGATGCGTAGCCTGCTTGCTTTGGACAAGATGCCAGAACACCAGGTCTTAAATCCTGGTGTCAGTTAAGGGAGTGAGAGAAACTTAAACTGGTACTAGCACAGTAAGTGAAATAAATACCTTCCAAACATCAGGAGTAGATGAGGAAAAGGGAGTTCATTGCAGTGTGGGAGTATACGGGGGGCACTGATCGGCTGGGGCCGTGAGAAGCACCGTGTCCCTTGGTACGCTCTTGGGCTTCATGTGCCTGTGGCATAGACGGCCGTCACGGCGACCTGCCTTCCCACCTCTATTAGGTCTGAAAATGAAGAGCACTGAGAGTGGTGGTCACGAAAGTCTCAGGACTCAAACTCCACCCATCTGTGGAGCTGCAGAGAACTCGGACCTGTCTTTTGAATGCTCACCTTATTCCTCTCCCTACTTGCTGTTTGCCCTCACCTTGAAAACGTGGTTCTGTGATGGGTTGAGCAGACGCAGAGTAGTAGATTCTAGATGTGGAGCCTGGTGGGAGGGTATCTGCGGGCTGAACCTCCTTTAGCGCCGTCACCATTCCTGGTTGAGGGGCAGAGGCCTTCCTTCCTGTATGAGACACAGAGCCATAGGGCTGCAGGCAGGGGCCAAGTCCTCCAGATAGCAGAGGCCCCGGTGTGCCTTGATTGTAGTAACATACGCGGCTCCCTTGCTGGTAAAGAGGGGACAGTCTATGTCCCCGAATTGGCATGTGAGATGGTGTTCCCTGAACAAGGCTTGCAGAAAGTGATGGATACAGAGAGACCATGTTATTGGCATCTGAAGCCTTATCATATTGGGCCGCCATAGCATGGCTGTGTTCTGGTCAGTGACAGTCTCAGTGAAGTCTCCAAGGGAAGAGGACTTCTTTTCCGTGCTTCCTGTGATGTTCCACTCAAAACCACATGGGTAGGAAGCAGCTGAAGTGGAGAGCTGGCTCTGGCCAGTAACTCCAGACAACATGATTGTGCCAGAATGTTGGTAAAAGTAGGCACTACCCGTGAGTGGCTGGAAAGAGATGCCAGAGACTGATGGCAGCGGCCATGTCGAACTGGCGTCGGGAGCAGAGACCCTGGGAAGTTGCAGACACTTCCTGTTAAGGAAGAAGCTGCATGGCTCCCCATGGGAAGAGAGAGCTGCAGAGAACTTGGAGTTCCAAGTAAAAATGGATTTTGGAAATTTTCTGTAGGGGAAAAAAATCAGAGCAGTTGAAAATTCTCTGTTGGAGGAGTAGCATTACCTTAAGGTCACTGCTGTCAGGAAGACTCTAATACCAACTCACAGGAGGTAGCGAGAACCAGTCCGTTTCTGATGGTTCTCGGTGTCGGAGCCGTCTGGTACTCTTTTGGACTCAATGCCCGTGCTCCTAGTTTGGGCAGATGTGCGCGCAGACCCAGGAGAGGGGTTCCTAATGGTTCTCTAGGCTAGAAGCAACCTTCTTCCCTGTGAGCCTGCATTAGTATCTTCTCCTGTGCTATTTCCTAGAAATGAAGCATTTTAGAAGTGGGAGGTCCCTCAAGAACTGCTAACACTCCTGTGTTACAAGTGAGGAAACTGAGGCTTAGGGAGGTCAGATGGGCCTGTTGAAGTTCTCCCATTCTGGTAGTGTCATTACCAGGTTGCGGGACCCTAAGTATCCTGACTTCCTTGCCAGGACTCTGCTCTCAGCATCACACTGCCAGAAACCAGGAGAAATAGGAGTTTCCATATGGGCTTTTTTTTTTTTGTCCATTGGAAAATAGCACAGCTGCTCCCGTTGTAATCCCCAGTGTCTCAGTTTGCTTGTGCAGTTCGCATGCTCTTACCCAGCATTCACGTATAGGTGGTAAATTGAAGGGTCCATTCTTACCATCTTCAAGCCAGGTTTCTGATCCTCCGTCAAAATGACTACCTGAGGGTGAGTTTCTCAAAAAGTGGTTTTTGAGAGAAAAGAGTTGCTCTTTTTCTCTCTGTGAGCTTCAGGTTATTCATGTATAAAGTGGTTATAGTAGTAACAATATTGACAGTAATAATTCATACATCGATCAAAGTGATATGTTACATATGATTTATAGAGAGGAAAATACAAGTTTTGGAAAGATAATGAGGAAACTTATGAGGAACATGTATCAGAAAAGTAAATAGAAATATAGGGATACTATTGAAAATGGGGGTATGTATGGAGCAGGCATTAAGGCATAAGTTTAGTAAGAAATGAAGTTCTGTATCATATGTGCAATGCTCTGAAAGGGAATATTGCCTCCTGTATGTTAGTGAGCATGAGTAAGCAAAATAACAGCCCATGGTAGAAGGTAATTTTGAATGAATTCCTGGACAGTACATTCAGACAGAGAAAATATTATCAGTAAACAGTTGCATACATAGCAGCAAAATGCAATAAATGTGTAAGTACAGGGAACTACAATTTTTGTAGACAAATGTTTCATTAAAACCTGGTACACAACAGAAAGCAAGATACTAAGTATAAAGGAATTCTATTATTGCGCCCTTTCATAGCTGAATGTTAGCCAGCAAGTAACAAATATCAAGCCTTGTTCAAATATATGTATTCTAAATAATATAATCAGATAAGAGAAAAGAACACTTAACAAGTATCATGAAAGTTTTAATATTTAGCTTATGACCTAGATCACAATCATCTTGAACATCCAGGAAAGTGTAATCCTCAAATCCCAGAACAACCAACAGGCTAGAATTAAATTTAACTTTTTTAATGTAGGAAAACCCAAACGACTCCACAAAATTGTGTTAGATAAATGTGGGATTCAAGATGTGGGGCTTGATTTCTCCTTCTTAGAATTGCTAACATCTAAAAGCAGATTATGGCTGTTCATTAGTGTGCCTTCTGTATTGAGAAGAAAATAACTATAGATGAAGAGCAGTTGCAGTCTTGACTTGAAACTTACTTATCACAAAAGCAGTTAGTCCTGATTCAAGTTAGGAGATAAGATATTTAAAAAGACTTAATTTTATTTTTAATAGGCAAAACGTGTACATAGTTTAAAAATCAGAATGACATAAAATAGTGAAAATTCTGTTTCCTCCACTCTCCTAGATAACCGCTTGAGTTAGTTTCTTGTTCATAGGAAGCATGATTTCTAAAACGTACTTCTAAAGTGTTTACATTCAAAACTGTAAGGTGCCGTCTGTGGTTCAGAGAGGCAGTGGGAAAACAAAACAGTTGTGTGTGACTTCTGATAAGCTCCTGTTTTCTGATGTGTGATATACCCTATCTGGCCTGGCTTTCCTTCTGAGTCTACTCATGGAAGCATTTGCTTAGATCAACTGTGTTCTGCCCTGCTCTGAGCAGATTCCACTCTGTGCTTCTGCTTTAATTTAAAATCTTTGAATGCTTCAACATTCATCTCAAGCTGCTCCTTTTTCTTGAGAGCTGCTCCATGCTTGCCTTCATTCCTATTTTTTCTCCACCCGCTTGGTTCGTGCGGGCCTGTGCTGATGAAAACAATCTTCAACTTCCTTCCTTTTGAATAGCCATGTACTCTCTATCTTCTCTCCCTACTTTCTGTTTTCTCCTGGTTTTGATAGAACACTTGAAAATGTGTGGATATTTCTTTTTGAACATCATTAAACTAAAACATAGTAAATTTGAAGTATTATTGGAGGGAGGCCACTACAGATGGTACATCTCAGTATATACTGCCAGTTTTCTACACCACCTTGTTTTCTCTGTTTCTGTGGAAACCCTTTTAAGAGGCCTCTGATCTCATTTCCTACCTGGGTGCCCTTTAAGATGCAATATTGGAAAAGAAACGGACCAGAGAGAGCCAAACTGGCCTCCTAATGGAACAGATGAGCAAAAACCAGATTTTCTTGGAGAGTCAATGACTTGTCCAAAGTCACACAGCTAGTAAATGTCAAAGTCAAATCTGAAATTAGGTCTCCCGATTTCTAGTTCAACACTTTTCTCCCATTATTTCATGCTGTTTTAAACCTGCTCCTGAATTTAGGGGCAAAAAATTTAATTAAAGTCCTTTAAAAGTTTCTTTCCTTACCTGACATGGTCAGAGAAGAAGAGGAAACACAAACCGTAGATCCAAGAAATAAGGAGAAGAACCTAGAAGATGTCTGAGTGACTGGAGATGAAGAGGACATGTGTCCAGTATGAAGTTCACTGATCACTTGCGATGCTCCAAGTCTATTTACAAACAACTCCGTGGAAACCCCAAGATTCTACAGGTGGTGATAGGTTGGTGGGAGAATGATGTCACAAGGAGACAGTTTAAAGGTACGAGGTAGCCAATAGGGAGGTCAGCTTCCCAACAAGAAGACAGGATTGGGTGGAGGCAGTAGTAGGTGAGCTAAAACAACACCTAAATGGCTGAGCTCTGTGAAGGGGGAATCCTACAGGACAGATGTGATAGCCTCCATTTCCTCCAGGATCTTATGTTAGGGAAATCATCTCAACGTTTCTTAAAGATGTTCACGAATATAAAAAACTAGTGCTGTTCGTTATGCTTCAGAAGTTGGAGACTGTTGAGAATTAGGCTTGGGGTTGATTAATGATTGTGTATTGAGTCCCCTATACAGAATATTATTGTTAACAACCATTTGATCAATAAATATGAGAGATGCCCTCTCAATCAATCAATTAATCAATACTGAAAAAAAGTTAAGGTTAATTGCATTAAAAAAAACTAGTGCTTATTTATAATATATTTTATAACCTATATTACCCATTTAAATTATATGTACTGTTAATTAATATCCTTAAGAAGGAGCAACATTTAGGTTGGACAGTTAGTTTGTTCTGAAATTCTATCAGTTGAGCTGTTTAATGAACTTGTCCCTTTTTAGGAGCACAAGAAGGGATTGAGGAGCTCTTTTTGTAATTTGGTTCAAGAATTGGATGAATTTTTTGAGTGCACCTTGTGAGGAAAGATCTGGACCAAGAATCTTTCCATTTGGTTCCCTCTCCTTGACTCGTATGTCCCTTGGGCTGGGCTGTCAAAGCCAGGTTGCACTTACATCTCTCTTCTGCTTTCTTTATTTTCTTCATTATAGGCATTGTTTGTCGGACAAGGCTTGATCTGGCATGCCCCATACCCCATTGAAGTCACTGTCCACCAGTTTAGTATGATTCCTCAGAGTTACTATTTGTCTCATCTGTGCTACACTTTCTTCCTCATAATCCTCCGGGGCCCCATCATGTGTACTAATCATAATACACCTCAGTCTCCTTCTCCTTCCCTCCCCATCCGCCCTTCCCCACCCCTTCTCTTTGGTAACCGCTAGTCCCTTCTTGGGGTCTGTGAGTCTAATGCTGTTTTATTCCTCCAGTTTTGCTTTGTTGTTATACTCCATAAATGAGGGAAATCATTTGGTATTTGTTTTTCTCTGCCTGACTTATTTCACTGAGCATAATTCCCTGTAGCTCCATCCATATTGTTGCAAATGGTAGGATTTGTTTCTTTCTTATGGTTGAATAGTATTACATTGTGTGTATGTACATCTTCTTTATCCATTCATCTTCTGATGGACGCTTCGGTTGCTTTTATATCTTCGCTATTGTAAATAGTACTGTAATAAACATAAGGTGCATATGTGTTTTTGAATCTGGAATTTGTTTTCCTTGGGTAAATTCCTAGGAGTGGAAATCCTGGGTCAAACGGTATTTCTATTTTTAGTTTTTTGAGGAACCTCCATACTGCTATCCACAATGGTTGAACTAGTTTACATTCCCACCAGCAGTGTAGGAGGATTCCCCTTTCTCCGCATCCTCACCGTCATTTGTTGTTCCTAGTCTTTCGAATTTGGCCATCCTGACTGTTGCATGGTGATACCTCATTGTGGTTTTAATTTCATTTCCCTGATGATTAGTGATGTGGATCATCTTTTCATGTGCCTGTTGGCCATCTGACTTTCTTCTTTGGAGAAGTATCTGTTCATATCCTCCACCCACTTTTTCATATGGTTTTTTGGTTTTTTGGTGTTGAAGCATGTGAGTTCTTACTATATTTTTTGGATGTTAACCCCATGTCGGATATGTCATTTACAAATATATCCTCCAATACTGTAGTGTGCCTTTTTGTGCTGCTGAGTGTGTCCTTTTCTGTACAGAATTTTTTAGCATGATGTAGTACCATTTGTTCATTTTTGCTCGTTTCCCTTGCCCAAGAAGATGCTTTCAGGAAAAAGTTGCTCATGTTTATATTGAAGTGATTTTTGCCTATGTTTTCTTCTAAGAGTTTTATGGTTCATGACTAACATTCAGGTCTTTGATCTGTTTCGAGTTTACTTTTGTGCATAGGGTTAGACAGTAATCCAGTTTCAATCTCTTGCATGTAGCTGTCCAGTTTTTCTAACACCAGTTGTTGAAGAATCTCCATTGTATGTCCATGGCTCTTTTACGTATATTAATTGACCATATATGCTTGGGTTTATATCTGGGCTCTCTAGTCTCTTCCCTTGGTCTATAGGTCTGTTCTTGTGCCACTACCAAATTATCTTGATTACTGTGGCTTTGTATAGAGCTTTAAGTCAGGGAGCATAATCATCCCCCAGTTTATTCTTTCTTCCCAGGATTGCTTTGTCTATTTGGCATCTTTTGTGGTTCCATATGAATTTTAGAACTATTTGCTCTAGTTTGTTGAAGAACGCTGTTGGTATTTCAATAGGGATTGTATTTAATCTGTAGATTGCTTTTGGCAGGATGGCCATTTGACAATATTAATCCTTCCTATCCATGAACACAGGATGTGTTTCCATTTATTGGTATGCCCTTTAATTTTTCTTATGAGTGTCTTGTAGTTTTCAGTGTATAGGTCTTTCACTTCCTTGGTTAGGTGTATTCCTAGGTGTTTTATTCTTTTTGATGCAATTGTGAATTGAATTGTTTTCCTAACTTCTGTTTCTGCTAGTCCATCATTAGTGAATAGGAATGCAATGGATTTCTGTGTATTAATTTTATATCTGGCAAGTTTGCTGAATTCAGATATTGTAGTAATTTTTAAGTGGATTCTTTAGGGTTTGTTATGTACAGTATCATGCCATCTGCGAACAGTGACAGTTTGGTATCTTCCTTTTCAATCTGGATGCCTTTTATTTCTTTATATGTCTGACTGCCATGTCTAGGACCTCCAGTAGTATGTTGAATAAAAGCGGTGGGAGTGGGCTTCCTTGTCTTGTGCCCAATCTTTGGTGAAAAGCTTTCAGCTCCTGCTGTTAAGTATGATGTTGTCTGTGGGTTTTTCATATGTGGCCTTTATTGTGTTGAGGTACTTGCCCTCTATACCCATTTTGTTGAGAGTTTTTATCATGAATGGATGTTGAATTTTCTTGAATGCTTTTCAGCATCTATGGAAGATGATCATGTGATTTTTGTCTTTCTTTTTGTTGATGTGGTGGATGATGATGTTGGATTTTCAAATGTTGTACCATCCTTGCAGCCCTGAGATGAACCTCACTTTGTCATGGTCTATGATCCTCTTGATGTATTTTTGAATTCAGTTTGCTAGTATTTTGTTGACTATTTTTGCATCTATGTTCATCTTTGATATTGGTGTGTAGTTTTCTTTTTTTCTGGTTTCTTTGCCTGGTTTTGGTATTAGGTGATGTTGGCTTCATAGAACGAGTTTGGAAGTATTCCCTCTACTTCTGTGTTTTGTAAAACTTTAAGGAGAATAGGTACTATGTCTTCTCTAAATGTCTGATAAAATTCAGTGGTGAATCCATCTGGACCAGAGGTTATGTTCTTCAGTAGTTTTTTGATTACTGATTCAAATTCAGTGCTGGTAATTGGTATGTTCAGATTTTCTTTTTGTTCCTGGGTCAGTCTTGGAAGGTTGTATTTTTCTAGAAAGTTGTCCAGTTCTTGTAGATTACCCAATTTGTTAGTGTATAATTTTTCATAGTATTCTCTAATAATTCTTTGTATTTCTGTGGTGTCTGTAGTAATTTTTCCTCTCATTTTCAATTTTGTTTATGTGTGTAGAGTCTCTTTTTTCTTGAGAAGTCTTCCTAGAACCTTATGTATTTTGTTAATTTTCTTAAAGAAGCAGCTCCTGATTTCATCATTTTTTCTATTGTTTTATTCTTCTCAATTTTATTTATTTCTTCTCTAATCTTTTTGTGTCCCTCCTTCTACTGACTTTTGGCCTCATTTATTCTCCTCTTTGGAGTTTCAATAATTGTTAATTTAGAGTACTCTTTTGGAATTGTTCTTCCTTTTTGAAATATGCCTGAATTGCTATATACTTTCATCTTAGAAGTGCCTTCTCTGTGTCCCACAGAAGTTGGGGTGTTGTGCTTTTGTTTGTTTTCATTTGTCTCCATGTATTGCTTGATCTGTGTTTTAATTTGGTCATTGACCCATTGATTATTTAGGAGCATGTTGTTAAGCCTCCATGTGTTTGTGAGCTTTTGTGTTTTCTTTGTACAGTTTATTTCTAGTTTTATATATTTGTGATTTGAGAAGTTGGTTTGTACTATTTCAGTCTATTTAAATTTACTGAGGCTCTTTTTGTGTCCTTGCATGTGGTCTATTTTGGTAAATTTTTCATGTGTACTTCAGAAGAATGTATCCTGCTGCTTTTGGGTGGAGTGTCCTATAGATGTCTGTTAGGTCCATATATTCTAATGTGTTGTTCAGTGCCTCTGTGTCCTTTCTATTTTCTGTCTGGGTGATATGTCCTTTGGAGTGACTAGTGTGTTTAAAGATCCTAAAATGAATGCATTGCTTTCTATTTCCCCCTTTAATTCTGTTAGTGTTTGTTTCACATATGTAGGTGCTCCTGTGTTGGGTGCATAGATACTTATAATGGTTATATCCTCTTCTTGGACTGACCCCTTTATCATTATGTAATGTCCTTCTTTGTCTCTTATTTCTTTCTTTGTTTTGAAGCCTATTTTGTCTGATGCAAGTATTGCAACTCTTGCTTTTTTTCTCCCTGTTAGTTGCATGAAATATCTTTCCATCCCTTCACTTTTAGTCTGTGCATGTCTTTGGGTTTGAACTGAATCTCTTGTAGGCAGCATATTGAAAGGCTTGCTTTTTTATCCATTCTGTAACTCTATGTCTTTTGAGTGGTGCATTCAGTCCATTTACATTTACGGTGATTATCAATAGGTGTATACTTATTGCTATAGTAGTCTTTGGTTTCTTGGTTACCAGAGACTCAAGGGTAACTTCTTTACTATCTAACAGTGTTTCTTAACTCACTACTATGCTATTATAAACACACTTTTAATGACTCTTTTTTTCTATCCCTTCTTTTTCTTCCTCCTCCAGTCTTTATTTGTTAGGTGTCATAATCTGTACTCTTTGTGTATCCCTTGACTAAGTTTGTTGATATGTGATTTAATTTTCCTTTGTTTGGTATTTAGTTGGTCTACTTCCTTTGCTCTGGTTTTATTTTCTCTGGTGACAGCTCTTTAGTCTTAGGCACATTTCCATCTGGAGCAGTCCTTTTAAAATGTACTGTAGAGATGGTTTGTGAGAGGTAAATTTGCTCCATTTTTATTTATCTGGGAATTGTTTTATCCCTCTTTCAAATTTAAATGATAATCCTGCTGGGT